TAGCTGCCTTTGGAAGTAGGAGCTTTTTTTGTCCGCCCCCCCCCCCCATCTGCCTCAAATTCTAGCAGCTTTTCACATGTCATGCATTTTCTGTGGAGGAATCTGTCCCTTCTGTTTCTTCAGAGTCTTTCTCCCAGACATCTCCCAGTTTGGTCTCAGTTTAGCCCCTCTACCCCAGAAACAGTTTCCAACACTACTGTGGCGGCTTTCCCTGCTACTTAAGGTAGGGGCTTTTTTGTCTGTTTGTTTTCAGGGTCTTTGTAGTTTGCATACAGACTGAAAATCTAACAAGGGAGGTTTTTGCCATTTCTAAACACCCATTAGGACAGGTACTTTACCTCATCAGGCCTTCACCTGGCCCAGTCCCCCAGTGGGTTGTGTTTGCTTGTCTGGGTGCTCAAGGACAGAGCTTATGCCAGAGGCAATCACCCCTTAGGGCTACACTCCCTCATCTCATGGGAGTCAACTGAAACAAAGCTTTTCTCAAAGAGATGCTTTGTCAGATAGAAAAGAAAGCTTTACTCCTGGATAGTTCTGTTCTGCCCTGGCTGGGCTCTTTCCCCAGACAGCGTTCTGACTCAGCAGCACAACTGCTTCAGACACAGTTCAGCTTTACTGTTTTGCCAGAAAGGTACTTTCTCTGATAGGAAAGCTTTTTCTCAGATTTCTTTTTGCAGCTATGGACCTATCAACCCAGTACTTGTAGGAAAGTAGACAACTGTGCTGTTCCCACCAGCTTTAGCTTTGTTCATTAGCAATCTTCCCCTGGGTCCTGCACCTTCCTGCCTCAGCTCTGTGCTCCAGGAAGTTTGCAAATACAGGAACCCTAGTATCCCCGGAATGCTCCCCAACTCGAACATGCTGGACAGTCGCCTCTGGGTTTTTGGTCAGAAGAGAGGATACAATGCTAACAGTTTGCATTGCTTCAGGGGATCTTTGATTTAGGTTGATTAGGAGCACCTTTTCATTCTGAAATGCTCGCTCAGAAACAAAAACCCTTGATGCCTCAGCTCACTGTAACTGAAAAGCTTGGCTTTTTTGCCTTTCTCAGGTAAAGTTTCCTGCCCTTTTGGGCTCTCTCTAGCTCTTCACCCATGCTCTCCCAAGCATTTCCCTCAGGGTACTCTGACCCACTGTCTTACTAGCTTGAAGAGACAGAGCTTAGAAGAGGTTTTTAGGAACTTGTCCCTGCATCCCACATTGCAGGGCGGATTGTTAAAGCTTGAAAGAACTTAGAGAGGTTTTGCTGTCTTAAGAAGTTTGTTGTTTTCCCTTAGAGCTAATCATAGGTGGTCCCCATACTAATATCTTCAGGTGATTCTAATTTTTGCCCTTTTGAGAAAGTTAAAGGCTTTAGGTTTTAAGGTTAAGAGCTTTTGAGAAAGATTAAGGGTTTTTAGAGAGATTTTCCCCCCAAATTTTCCAAGAAAAGCTTTATAGTTTAAGAGAAAGATTTTTTTCCCCAAAAGAGAAAGACCAACTTTTCCCAAAACTTCCCAACTTTAAACTTTTTGGCTTTTTACAACCCCCATTTTTGCCTCAAGGAGAAAACACTTTCTCCTGTTGCTTGAACTTTAGTATTTCAGCTGTCCCCAGGACAAAAGCTTCCATAGGAAACTTTTTCTGGCCCCATCAGCTCAGAGAAGAGCTTTTTTAGTACCCATAAAGTCCAAAGAAAGATTTTTCCCCCAGTCTGAATTCAAAGCCCCCAAAGTTAGAAAATTGAGTTTTTCTGTCTAGTTAGTTGACTGACTTATTTTTTTTTCTACACGATCTTACACTTCTAAGTTTTTCCTACACTATATTACTGACTTATACCTTATACTTATTTTTCACAGGTAGAAATTGAGAAAGGGATAGAAAATAGAAAATTTTGACAGAAGAAAATTTTGTGCTGCAGCATCGGACATCCTTCCAGTCTGCTTTCCCTTACTCTCAAGGATAAAACCCATGCCCTTCAATAATATATATAAAATATATATTTTCTATAACAATGGCATGCCTTTGCACTGGCAGGGCTGACTCAGCACTTTCACCAAAAAACTCTGTAATAAAACTATTATTTTCCTTTATCTTTGGTCCCTGTTACTTTGTCTTTAGTCCCTGTTCATTTGTCTTTAGTCCCCCCTTTCTTTCTTTAGTCCCTGTTCATGGCACCATTCTGTGGGGCATTTACCCACAAACCCCACAGCTCCCCAGAGTTTTCTTGAGTGTGAGCAGCAGGAAATATTAGATAGAAGGATTTATTGCAGAGAATCTTGCTGAGATAAACAGATAAAAAACAAAGAATAGCCTTGAGAAGCCTGTAACATTTTCCAATGGGCGCCTACTGTCTCTGCCCCAGGGTTTTTATAGAGACACCAAGGGGTGAAGCAAATGACCTCCTCTCCCAGCACAGACACCTGCATTCAGGCCCGTGGTCCTAATCATCCTCCATGCGGACCTGTAGGGTAAAGCCACGAGAAACCCGAAAACGACTCCCACAGAAGAGTCCACAGTTATCAGGATGAGGCTGAGCATGTGAGGAGAGAGAGAGGAGCAAGAGCAAGAGAAGAGCCACAGACCAAGAGAGGCAGCTTGGGCTAAGGGAGTATGAGGCCAAGAGACTGGTGTAGCAAAAATTCTTCAGTTATATAGGTGCCAGTGGAGCTCGGAGAGGGAAACTTTTAATACCAGGAAGTGATGGCAGGAAGCAGAAAGGTATATAATGTGTGAGGATGAGGAACTAGAGCCTTTTTTAAGCTTTTAGCTTTTAGCAGCACCTCAGCTGAGATCCATTCAGATGAGGACTCAGAGATTTCCAGTCTGAGGAAATAGGATTGGCTGAGAAATTGGTGAGCTGAAGGTAGCTATGGCTTGTTCTGTTTCTCTGATCTTTCAGCATTTACCCCAATACCTGGCTCCAGGTTTGTTTTTATTAATACGAACTGTTAAGATTTGTGCTACATAGGGTCAACAAGACAAAACGACAGCCTACAGAATGGGAAAAGATCTTCACAAGCCCACATCTGACAGAGGGATGATCTCCAAAATATATAAGGAACTCAAGAAACTAGACATCAAATTACCAAATAATCCCGTTTAGAAAATGGGGTACAGATCTAAACAGAGAATTCAAAACAGAAGAATATTAAATGGCAAAAAGAAATTTAAGGAATTGCTCAAAATCCTTAGCCATCAGGCAAATTCAAATCAAAACGACACTGATACCATCTTATACCTATCAGAATGACTAAGATCAAATCCATTAATGACAGCTTATGTTGGACAGGATGTGGAGCAAGGGGATCACTCCTCCACTGTTGGTGGAGTGCAAAGTTGTACAGCCACTCAGGAAATCAGTAGGTCAGTACCTCAGAAAGTTAGGAATCTACCTATATTAAGACACAGCTATACCACTCTTGGGCATGTACCCAAAGGATGCTCAATCATGCCATAGGTCACTTGCTCAACCATGTTTATAGCAACATTATTCATAATAGCCAGAACCAGGAAACAACCTCGATGGCCCTCAACTGAAGGATATAATAATATAAATGTGGTACCTTTACACAATGGAATATTACCCAGTGGTAAAAAAAAAATAGTGACACCATGAAATTTGTAGGCAAATGGATAGAAGAAGATACTGAGGGAGGTACACAGACCCAGAAAGACAAATATGGTATGTGCTTACTCTTAAATGGATATTAAATGCAAAGCAAAGGGTAGCAGATATACCATGTGACATCAGCACATGGACATTCTACTGTCTCCTGGAGAGCCCTGGCATTCCATGTGATGTCACCAGTGTTGTGGCAACACCAACTGTCATTGGGGCATTGGTGCAGTGTCTCGTGTTTCACCTACAGACATGCTGACTAGACTGAACAGGATTCTTGGGAGACAGGATGGCGAGCAGAGGGAGATCAGAGGGAGGCAGAAGGAAGATGGCCTTCAGTCTCCATGTCATACATCAAGAAACAAATGGTTCTGTGGAAAGCACAGTGAGTCCTGGGAAAGGGAAGGGGAACTTCCTGAAGGAGGGAGGCTTCAGCTGATCCTTCCAGGAGTGGGGCTCAGGAGGGGAGAGTTTCTGAGAAGCAATGATGGGCCTATCCTGGTCCTCTGAGTTCTTCAAGAGCAGACCCAGAGATGAGGATTTCTCATGGTGAGTTTGGCAGAGAGCCAGGGATGGTCAAGGCTGTAGCTGCTCTGTTGAGGGCACTCTGCTTTCACTCTGAGTGGGAAGGAAGCGCAGAGGAAATAAAGAGGTTTCAGTTCCAGCCCTGCACTTCACCCACACTGGATTTCTTTTGGTGTGTGTCACTAATACCAGGGAGAGTAAAGTCCCCTGGCCAGAGCTAGAGAGTCTCACATTTTAAATAACAACCACTGGCAGGGCAGGAGCCACCAAGTATTGCTGCATGTCAGTGACACCTAAGGTTTCTGAGTTCCTGCCCTCTCACTAGCCAGTCCTCTTTCCTGTACCTTGAGTGCAGGACTGGGACATGACTTTTCCTGTAAGTATTTGTTTTTGGTGACTGAGGGATCATATGGGGATACCCAGTCCTTAGGTATTTTCAGTCATACCTTTCAATAGCTGATAACACCTCTGCTAACATCATGATGGTTGGAATGTATTCTGCTGGAGGTTTTGGCAAAAGTTCCAGCATTTACTATATGACACCATTGTTCTGACAGGACTCACATAATCCTCCACCATTCCCATACATTGTAACAGACCTGTGGATTTTCTTTGATGTGCTTGTTCATCTCATGGAACTGATCTTCTTTCTCCATAATCCTGAGCTAATTTCTTAGCATATTTAATTACTCATCTTATTAGCTGGCGATCATCAGGATGAACAGCCATTACTGGGCAGTGTTTGGAAATTGAGTCTTGCTCTCCACACATGATAAAGTATTGAATTAGAATGAACTAGATTCTAATGATTCAGAGAGATCTCAGGATTGAAAGGAGGACATGCTGAAGGCCTTCCTGTTTCTCAGGAAAGTCTCCTGGAAAGGGCAGCTTGGCTTTTGGTGAATTGGGGAAGAGCTTGTTATCAGATAGGTGATGACCATTGGCAGTGGCCCTAACAGTCCATTCTCTGGAAATTCTATTGTATCCTGGAGAGCCCTTGGCATCTTCTGTGAAATCACCAGTGTTGTGCCAATGCCAACTGTCCTTGAGGCATTCACTAAGTGCTTATATTGTTCACCAACTGACATGTTGGCAAGACTGATCACACTGATTGCCAAAGAAAGCCCTAGTTTCCTAAGAAGGAGGTGAGGCTAGAACTGGACCTTCTAGTAATGGGGTTGGTAGCTCTGATCATGAAGCATTGGGCCTATGCTGCTTGTCCTGGTTCCTAAAGAGCAGATCCAAGGTGGAGGATTCCTGATGGGCCAGGAATGGTCAAGGCTGCAGCTGCTGTGCTGCGACCTCCTTCAGTTCATTCTGAGTGGCAAAGAATGCAACAGGAGGCCCAGAACCACTAATGCGATATCAGAATGGGATGTTGTTGCACTTTATATCTGATGTAAATATGAAGGAGGGAAACTTTCCATCCATGTACCCAGGTCTGAAACATTCAGTTCCTTTTAGTCGTGGACACAGGTTATCAGGGCTGGGAGGTGAAAACCACTAGGGACTCCTGGACTTCCTTGCATCACATCAGGTATGAGATGACAATTCCAAACCACCATGGCTGGCCTTGCTTATGTCTTTCAGGACCAGGGGGGCTGGTAAGGGCTGAGGCATATTTCTAGCCATAGTGATTGGAGACAGACACATGGCTTATGAGGCCCAGCTTAAGGAGAGCTGCTCTGATCTTTGAGGGCTTCACTGGGTTCCATGCACTTCCTCTTCCTCAGGCCTCCTCTTGGGACTCCACATGATCTTCTTGGCTTATGCCATTCATCTGTACAAATTCACATGTGTTTATGTACCTACAGGGACTGCTAGGAAGGCATCATCCACACCCTTCTTCCTCACTGAGCAGGAGCAGCAGTTGAACCAGGTGGAAAAACTGAAACTTCAGCTACAGATGATGACCAATGACAGGAATGAACTGCGTGAATTCCTGGCCCATTACAACAATGAGTTGAACAACAGGTATTCATCATGCCTGTTCTCTGGTGACTGTCTTGACCCTACTGTGTCAATTCCAGCAGTCCTTGGGTCACTGGAAGCTGCACCTGCAGGGTGACCTGCATAAGCAAATTTTCCTGAATGCATCTGAGAGGCAGAACTGAAGCCTGTAGGAGTGAGATGGGTCACAGGCTGTTCTGATTCCTCCTAATGAAACCCAGAGCCTGTGGCCTGAATCACAATCCACAGAGAGGGGCAGTAGGGTGTAAGATCACAGCATGCATTTCAAGAGACCTTGACAGGTGTTGGCTTGAAGGAGATGCTGGGTGCTCTGAGTTTAACCTGAGTCTGATTTTGACAAGATATTTATTTTTGCTTGTTGCTCTGGGAGTAGCTTGAAGGGCCTGGTGGTCCTATTTGGTCCTTCTGTGTGTGACTGGAAGGTCTGGTGTCCGTCCCAGCTCCTCTCTGGTCTTGTTCCTTATACTGTAAGACAATGCCACCTACCTACATTTCTTGACATCCTAATTGTGTGTGGGTTTGTGTGTGTGTGTGAATTGCTCTCTAAGGGGCCCAAACATCACAATCATGGCAGCGGCAGGTTTTGACCTTTTCAGTTACCTCTCACTTGATAAACCATTAGATTACATTCCTAAATTTAGTTCCCAAAGTTCATCCCTTTTGTGGAAACTGACTCATTCTTGAAACTAAACAAACAAGTCCAACAATCAATATTCATTACCCGCCTACACTTGCCAACCTGTCCAATCAGATCTCAGAAACTCACCCTAGCATGGAAGTAACCTTTCTATTTCAAATCACACTGCTGAAAAAAATCTGGCTGCATGTTGTCTGCCTTTGCCTGATCCAGAGGCAGGCTCCTAATGCCATGCTTGCCCTGCGGCGGAATGCATCTCTTTGTGCTGACCATTTGGTGTCCCATTTTTTCTGTACTGTCTCTGAGAGGCTCCCTTACAATGTGTGTGTGTGTGTGTGTGTGTGTGTGTGTGTGTGTGTGTGTGTGTGTGTTGTGTGCGTGTGAGTGTCCCTTCAGATCGTGTGAGTTGGAGATTGATAGTAGGCCTGAGGATTTGCCTGTTTCAAAGATTTCAGGTGATATAAGTGCTGAGACCAGGGAGCTCCACTTTGAGCATCACTGTTCTCAGTCTTTGTGCTCACCCTGGTGCCTCGTTGGAATACCCTTGGGAGTTATATAAAGCCATCCACATGGAGTGCCTCCTCCATGGCAATACTGACTATGAGTTCTGGATATCCTTGTAAAGACAAACCATTTCTGTTCTCACGACAGTGGAAATGTCATCACAGATTTCAGGTAAGCCCACGCCTGTGGGCCTACATAGAGAGCTACTCTACCTCTCCAGACCTACTCAGGGAACTCATGTAGCCCTGTCTCCCTCCCTGTTGACACACAGCCTTTCCTGGCCCTGGGGCAGGGTAGCAAGACTAATGCACATCAGGAGTTCCCAGTACATAGAATTCAGGGTGTGACATCCAGTGGGCTAGGGTAGTGCAAAATACATGCTTAATTCATGGGGTACCTGAGGCCTGTGTTCACAGGGTTCTTTGCTCCTGGGGCCATGCCCTCCCACAGGCTGAATTCTGATCATGAGATGCAGAACACAGAGCCTAAGATGAATATTTCAGATGTGAAGAAATTACCCAAGGGAATTAGTGAGGCCTTGTACAAGTGTATAGAGCTGAGTGAGAAGACTAAAATCTACCAGTGAGTGCCTGTCTGGGTGGACTCCAGAACTTGGTAAGGGCGGCTTCTTGTTGTCTGAAGTTTCTCCAGTCCTGCCTGACCTGCTGTAAGGAGGAGTCTGTCCCACCTGCCTCCTGCAGCCAAATGGCCCAAGTAAATACACAGAGGAACACATTACTTACAAACTATATGGCCAATGGCTTACATTTCAGGCCAGCTAGCTCTATCATCTTAAATTAACCCAATTCTATTATTCTGTGTTTTCCCACATGGCAGCTGCATTTCCAGGCTGCTGGCATGTTGCTCCTTGGTTTGCAGCTGACATTTCCTCGACCTCTGCCTTTCTTCTCTGTCTCTCCTGGATTTTCCTGCCTGGCTTCTTCCTGCTGTGCCATAGGCCAAAGCAGCTTATTTATTAACCAATGTGTAACTAGAGTTTTCCTGCCTTGCCCACAGTCAGGACAAATCTTTGTCACCAGCCAGTCCCACAGCTGCTCAGACACAACCAAGAAAACACAGAGACTTATATTGCTTACAAACTGTATGGCCATGGCAGGCTTCTTGCTAACTGTTCTTTTAGCTTAAATTAATCCATTTCCATAGATTTATACCTTGCCACTTGGCTTGTGGCTTATTGGCATCTTCACATGCTGCTTGTCATGGTGGCGGCCTGCAGTGACTCCTTCTGCCTTCCTGTTCTTTCTCTTCTCCTCTCTGTTAGACCCGCCTATTCTTCCTGCCTAGCCACTGACCAATCAGTGTTTATGTATTGACCAATCAGAGTAATTTGACATACAGGCCATCCCATAGCACCAATGAGAGCAATACATATTCACAGCATACAGAAAGACATCCCACAGCATCTTCTTCCCTTCTCCACCTTTGAACCAAAGTGAGGGCTGAAGTTCTAGTCTGTTTACCTCTTAGCAAGCAGCCTGCCTTATAGCTCTTGGATTTGTGCCTTGTAGACTGAGTTCTCCTAAGTGTGAAGAGTGTAAGTGTGCCTTCCAACTTTTCCCGGTCAGCTTCTGGAACTTCTAGACAGAAAATATAGTTTGCACCATGAATGGTTTCTGTGGCTCTGGCATGAGGTTACATAGCTGGTTTCCATGGGACACATAGATGGAAAGTATTCCAGATGGGTCTTCTGTCTCCCTCAGACCATGGTTTCCCTCTACCTGCTCATGTTTTCCCAATACCATGAACAGTTTAACACCGGGGTGTGTGTGCGGGAGGTAGGAGATCCAGTCTTCATAGGTACATGGATCCCTTTTGCTGTCAGGGACTTCAGAAGTAGTGTAAATCTTTCTGGAATTTGGCTATTCTCTGGCTTTGGCCTGCACCAGAGTGATGCTGCCATGGCTAATGAGGGCTCCAGCCCAGGGCTGTTGTAGATGGGGACATGAGACCTTGCAGGAATCATGGTATTAGGAGGCAAGAGTGGCAGATAGAAGTGGAGCTCATCATTTTTGGTGATATTTCAGCACCCTCTACAGTCAGCACCTGAGTGAACAGACTCAGCTGAAAGAAAAAGTGAGAATGTTGCTAGAGGACAAGAAAAAGCTGCAGGGGGAGCAGATTTTACTACAAGAGTCCTGTGAGGAGGCAAAGAGGCTCTGTGAAGAGGACCATGAGAAGATGTATGACCTCTGGACAAGGCAGCTGCAGGTAGGTTGAAGAAGCAGGGCAAACCTGGCCACCAGTCTGACCATACACACATATATGCACACACTCATGTAACCATCTACTCACTTATCCAACTAACCCATCCCATCCAATACTTCACTTCTGTGATCATTCACAAGTCTTTCTGGGGAGGTAGCCTCTTAGAGCAAGCAAACCATACTGCTCTGCTGGAAGCCACAGTTCATTGAGGGAGACAGGTCAATCAAATACCACTAACCTGTATGTCAGTATGGGAGGATCCATGCTATGATGGAGCCACAGAGATCTGAGTGAGTCAGGTCAAGGATCTGGGTCTCATTTGATTGGCAGGGGTCATGTGTGATCAGAGCAGACACAGCATGGAAGGAGGAACACACCCTGAAAAATCCAAATGACTGGGGCTCATAGACATCTTTTTGGGTGTTATATGGCATTTTACCCTCTTGTACACAGACATCCATGGTGTTCTCTTTACCTGGCCAAGCTCTTGGCTCACAGTTGATGAATTAACAACAATCTTACATTCAGAAGCTCACTGGATGACCAGGGATGTGGCAAGAGCTTATGACAGGCGGGGGTCAGGGTGGCAGATTTGAGCCAACTGCATCAACATAGCCTACAGAAACACAGCATGCTTCCCAAGGCATTTTTAGTCCAAAATGATGGAGAATTGTGGTACTCACCTATAACAGCTAGTGTGAGGAGTCTTAATCCAACTGGTAATATCATCCTCATCCAGTGTGATGTCCTCCTCACTGCGTTCTGATCACTGATGATTTGAGGGGTGTGTGTCTGTGTATGAGTGTGCATGTATGAGGGCGCATACAACTGTGGATGTTTTGGAAGGTCTGATGATGACATCGAGTGTCCTCTGTTGCTTTCTCCCTTTTTCCCTTCAGTCCGGGTCTCTCACTGAACCTGAAAATTTCTGTTCTGGCTAAGCTGGATAGCCACAGATCTTTGGATCTCCTGTCTCCTCACAGTAGAGCATCCTGTGTTTTTCTGTCTCATCTCATTGCTAAATGGCTTATTTGGTCAGAAAGAGAACTGATTGTTGGTTTCTCTTAATTTTTAAACATTTTTATTACTTTGGAATTCATATGTTTTTGTAATAAATAACAAAAATCAAACAACAGAGCTATTTTAAAAATAAAAATTAGACTTCTTTTTTATCACAGCATAGAGGTAACCACCTAGGAAAGGTCTGTTTTGTCTTATTGGCGTCACAACATGGAACATGACATTTTGATGCTCACTCTATGATGTATGTGTGTATGTCTTAGGACAGATTCCAACTCATAGTTGTATAGAGTGCTGCATTTTAGAAAAGAGCTGTGGATGACCGAAGTAGCCTTCTACAGACTGGCCTGGGGCTGTTTTCATATAATGTGCACAGTAATCTGGTCAAAAGTTGTTGGGTAATGACAATGGGTGACTTTCATTCTCTGGTGCTGTCAATGTCTTCTGTGGAGGAGTCTGGGTAAGTTTAGTGAGGAGACTATGATGGTTCAACCTAAATCTATCAAGAAGCTTCATGTCCCGCCCTCTTCCCCAGGGTCTTGGTCTTGTGTGGTCCGACTCAGTTGTGCGGACCTTGTTACTTCTCTGTACAGTCAGTGAGTCTGGTGATAAGAACTTCCCTGGGAAGGGAAATTAGTTCAGGCCAGGACAGAAGAGCGTGGCTGGGTCTAAGAGGCTTGTAGACAGCAGGGAGGACCCACTACCTTCCCTGGATTAGAAAAGGTGCTGCAACATTCTAATGTTCTTCCTTGCCTTTCTGGATTCAAGAAAAGTGTGTGTTTGTGTTGTTTTTATGTGTGTGTTTGGGGAATGAGAATGTGTGTTTGAGCCTCTAAGTGTATGTTCACTCTCTCACGGAACAATGAAACATCTTTAAGAAGGATGGAGATGGATTTCAATGAGAAAGTACTGTGCCTAATCTGGTTAGTACCACTTTGCCTCCGTCAAAGAACAGACGGATCTGCCCATCACTCTGCATGTCCACACAGCTAACTGCACATGCAAGGCCACAAAATTGATGCAAGCTAAATGTTTTTCAGGTATTTGCAGAGGCAGAATTATTTCTCTGCAAAGAAATCCTCTGGAGAAAAACAAAATAATGGGGTCCATGACAGTGAGAAAGAGGCTACTGAGAGGCAGCAAAGGCTGCCTGAGGGTTTGTGTCCTTCTCTGCACTGGGTGAAAGGAGGCTGACCACTAATGACTTCCCTGCATCCGGTTTTGTTTTTCTCCTCATCACCTGCTGCCATTTTCCTTTCACCTTTGCCTAAACTTGGTTCAGCTAACCTGGTCCTAGGAGCTTGGCCTGGACTTTTTTCTCAGAAAAATTGTGAACTGCAGAGGTGCTTGTGGCTGCATCCCAGCCCAGCGGAAGTCCCACAGCTATGCTGAGGTGTGAGAAGAGGCTGTCTCAGTGCACCCCTTAGGCTCATCACACTCTAAAGCACCCACTCCATGTTGTGTCTGCAGCACTCAGAATCTGCTTTCATTCCAAACTTCTTCATACTGAGTTAAATTCAGCCTGATGGAGAGTTGGGAGAAGTGAGATCTCTCAAACATTGCTAGTAGTGTAAAATGGTGCAGCTCTGGGAGAAGCTATGTGCAATTATTCAGAAAATGGAACTGCAGACTTCGGGTGGAGCATTGATTCTAGAATGGAAAGTAGTGTCCACAGAGAATAGGGGACAACAGGGATACAGCAGGATTCTTCAGAACAGCCCAACTAGAAACTATTCAGATACTCATCATTGATGAGTGCAAACATACAATGTGGTCCATGGGATATTGTTAAGTTTGGAATAATATATGCAATTATTTGGCTGTGAGTTAGTCAACATTCTGTTACTCAAAGAAATCTCTGACACAATCATCTTATTTGAAGGAAAGGTTAATATAGACTACTGATTGTAGTGATTTTCTAGTTTTCTGAGCTCATTCCTTTGGGCCTAAATTGAGGCAACCTGTGGTACAGAGAGCATCTTCAAGAGGAAGCTGCCCTCCTTAGAGTCACTGGGAAGCTCTGAGTGAGAGCAAGGGGCTGGTCCACAGCCATCCAGTCGTCCTGTGCTGGGGAACTAAGCCTTCAATGCACAGACTGGGGAACTTGCTAGGAGAGCTTAGATTACAGATCAAGGAACCCTGGTGTTCACCTGTGTGTGTACAGGATTTTAAGGCAAGCACCACATTGACTTATCTGCCCACTGAGTTCTTCTCCCAGATCAACCGGCATGCACCTGTTATGCAGACAGACACACAGGCAGGCTGAACACCTGCACATATAAACTAAAAATAAACTGAAAAATGACCAAAACCGAGTAAAAGCACACAATCTTCTCTACATCCTTGTGCTCAGAGCATCCTGTGTTTCCTGACTCTAGGCTGGAATATGGGTAGAGCGGATGTAGGTTAATGAAAGGTAACTTTCTTCTTCATGATATCTCAGGCTATCTCTTCTTACATTAGTGTCATCTGGGAAACTAAGCATGGATGGAATGTAGTGTGCTTGTATGTGTGCATCCATATACATGTGTGTGCTGGAGATAGATAGATAGACAGATAGATAGATAGATAGATGATAGATAGATAGATAGATAGATAGATAGATAGACAGATAGATAGAAAGATAGATAGAGAATGTGTGTGTGTGTGTGTGTGTGTGTGTGTGTGTGTGTGTGTGCATGTTTATGTACATGGTGAGGTTGCCATCCCCTAAAAAACAATCTTCTTATGAACAGGAACATCAAAGACTTGAGGAAAATCTTCAGTCCCTGATGAAGCAGAAGGAGCTGCTCACCAGGCAAAGGGACCTGGCAGTAAAGCTGCAGCATCACTTCACTGTGTCCCAGATGAGGTAGGAGCCCAGGCTTCCAGAAGCAGGTGGATCCAAGTGGGTCCGCTGTACCTGGATCTCCATGCTCTTTGAGTTTTGTCAATTGGCAAAGCTGCCAGCTACAGCCAGGCAAAGAACCCCTCAGAGTGTCGTTACTGGCTCAGTCAACAGGAATTATGACCAGGAAACAATATGCTCTCTCCATGGTCTCATGGGGACTGTGTCCCCTTCTTCCCTTCTGAGACCTCTAGTATGCTCTGAGTATCTCACCTCTTAGGTTAGATCTCCCCCCGAATATTCCCATGGCGCCAGAAACCTGGAAAGGAGGATCATTGATCATAAAGGAAAGTGTGTCCTCCTGCATCTTTTCCATCAGGAACATCACGTTTACAGAGAAGTGTCCACCCTTTGCAGATTTGCATACAGCACACCCTTGCTGACTGCAGGCTCTCTGCAGTGTTTATCAGTTTTCCATAAGAAGATTTACTCTTGTTCATAAACAGAGTAGGAGCTGACAAGTTAAACCCATGCAGGGTTCTGAGCTGTAGGAATAACCAGAGCCTTTTCTGCACTGCTGTGTAGGCTCCACTAGAGGGCAGGCAGAGAGTTTTCCAGGAAGTTCACATTCACCTGTATCTATTCAAGGGCAGCTACATCTTTCCTGAACTGTGCCTCAGACCTTGACATACTGATATTTCTCCAAAATGATGTTTTTGGACTGTTGGAGAAATACGCTGTATTTTTCTAATCCATCAAAGTGTGTATTTTCCAGTTCAATTTCTAGCAGTTTTTAAAAGCTGAGAAAAAAATCCTGTCCAGTAGCTCTCTGTCCCTTTTCCC